CTGATCATCAGGGTTTAGGGTTTAGGGTCTAGGGTTTAGGGAAAGTTTATAATTGTGGGGATGAATCTCAGATCCCAATTCAGGAGTTCCCACCCCTTGATTGGCCAAGACCCCCTAATCCTGAGCCCATGAAATGTTGCAAGAGACCTCCCATTTCCCAGATCTGCACACTGTGGAAAGTGTAAGTGTGGCTCTTCCACACACTCACTCATCACCAATTAAATCAAACTGAGGGCATAATTATTGGCAGGTGTCCCAGGGTTTTCGTAGCTGCACTACAGCCAAAAGCTAGCTACCTAGGTCTAGCACTTAGAGCTTAAGACCCCCAGCTCAATCACGGATTGCCAACTTCTGCTTCGCGAAGATGGTTGTCTGCAGCCTCAGATGCTTGGCAATGTAGTACATGCCCGGGGCAGAACATTTATTATGAACCCTTAACCCTGAAGTTTAGATGAACCTTCTATATTAGACCCCGAAACCCTAGCTTGAAAAGAAATTAAAGCAAGCAAGGGTCCAGAGATAATATCTCCTCAGAGTGGCTCGTTCCAATCGTCGCGTGTGCGTTTTGCTTGCAATCCCTGATCAGAGACCAGGAAATGAGAAAAAAACAATTACCCTAAACCCTAACCCCTAAACCCTTGATATCTTTACTCACATAAGAAGTTTGGGTTTAGGGTTTTTAGGGTTTAGGGTTTAGGGCTTTATAATATTTAGGAATAGAATCAATCCAAGAAACGGACCAACTTGCCGTTGAAGTCCTCGGAACTGAAGGTGTGGTAATGTCTCCAGTTGATTCGATCCGTGCTGGCGAATCGAATGATTTCCGCGACTCCCTGATCAAATATAGCCATCGATCAGTGTGATTATGGGTCTCTTTAAAGGGGCCCCATAATATCTCAAAATATTGTGCTAAGCCCCTAAATCATTCGACCTTAACCCCTAAACACCAAAACCTTTAAAAGCTTCGATGGATTCTGAGCAGAGCTGTGCCTGCCTGTGCAGCGCATGTGCGAGTCACATAAACCCCAAATCCCGAAACCCCTCTACAGCATTCTGAACCCCAAGCCACTAACAACCTGGCCCCTAAACCCCTAAATCCTCAAACCCCTAAACCAAATAATCGGATGAAGTTGCATGGAGCTTTGGCTTCACCGGGAAGTAGGGCTTGTTCTGCGAAGCAAAGTAGTCTGCAAGCCATCCATAGGCACTGCTGAACATGTCCTCATCATGTGACATATCAAATAGCTTGCAATAGATTGTGATCTCACTCATAGACTTAAGCTAGCATCCCAATCTTGAAAACCTGCTGGCCACCCCAATCTAGGATCGGTGCATAGCCGCATGCGCTCGATCTCGGGATCCGTAAGGTATCGCCCTGCCTGCTCGGAGCAGTTCATCAGATCGGCAAGGTAGAACCTCTTGTCCACATATGTTCTATTTAGCTTGGGTTTTGTGGGGCTTTGGGTGTGTGTATGTATATATATATATATATATATGTTGTGAATATATATACATATGATGCATACTTGGGCTGGATTTCCCAGGATTGGCCACTGGGGTTTGGGGTTCCAAATAATTGATCATGAAGAGACAAGTCACATTAGCTGCCCCATGTTCTGCATCACTTTGTCCTCTGCATAGGCTGTTTCGTAGAGAAGGCTGGTGATGCGGTGTGATAGCCAAGCTGTGATCACCCTGGCCTCAGATATAAACCACATCCTAGCTATTCGTATTCTGGTAACCAACTATACTGGATGCAACACAAGTGGCATTGTAGCCCTTCACCCCAATCTCACCTCCACCATCACGGAAGATCTTCGGGCCGAACTTCGGTTGGCTGTGACTGGGTTTGCATGATGAGAGAGAGAGAAACAGAAAGAGATAGAGAGAAACATCGACCAAATATTAAGAGGATTCAGAATTTAGTACTGAACGAATGACTGGGCACACAATCTTGCGGAGCTCACAGAACTTGCTGAAATCACAGTATGCTGCAGCCAGCTGCTCCGATAGGGTGTATAAGTCGTCGACACCCCAGATGCCCTGCCCGACATCAGACCAGTATGATTAGTTGGGGTTTAGGGTTTAGGTTTTTGGGGTTCTAGGGTTTAGAGGAATGACTGAACTCGAGCTGGCCTTCGAAAGAAGATACTGGAGACAGCCTGCACAAGCCCACAACATGATGCCCATGTTTATCGTGTGGAGGGAACACCATCTCATCATGTCGTGGTTCCAGCCGAGGATGTCGAGGATGGCACCTGTGCATAATGATGGAAACTCGGCCACTATGTTATCCTAGTTTGGGGCTTCCCGGGTTAGGGGTCGAAGGTGGTTCTTGTTCACAACCCAGGGAGCTAACATGTGTACAATCAAAACCATTCAGAATTGCAGCTGAATCTCTCTTTCTGCCCAAATCATCCTTTTGCACAGCACACACCTCCGTGAAGTTGTCCATGTCGCGCCGTGGAATGGCTTCCATCGAAGTCATGTCCGGTGAGTCGAAGAAAGTCTTGCGCTGAGCAAAACAGTGATGGCAAACATTGTTGGAATTCCAACCGATGCGCTTGAAGCCGAGCCACTCCTGAGCTGTTTTGAGTTTTGGCCTACTTCCCTCTAGTAGTATATAATATATTACTATGGAGAAATAAAAAATACTTCGAAGCATAGGTAAAGTCACTCGGTAAAACTTCCAGTCAGCACGAAGCTCTGCCACTGCCCCGAAAGCAGCCATAGTGGTCTCGATGTTATCGGGGCCACTCATCATCACCACCGAGTGGCCACGGAACAGGATATTCAATGAATCCTTGACCTGATCTGTATAGACGAGGAGATTGGCCATTACGAGTCAAAACAAAACATAATATCCCAAGCTCTCACATACAGGTTGGAAAAGCTTAGGGGGACTTACAAATATTTTTTAATCTTTGGCTACTATAAACCCTAAGAAGTAGCTAAAATTATAATTTTTGCTAGGGGTCCTAAGTTCAGTATAGAAAGGTTAGGGCACACAGTTTAGATATCCGGATGAGATCCCAGGCTGCTGGCTCCATGAAGGCCTGCATCGTGTTGAAGCCGGTGCTCAGCGACTGGTCAGGGAACAAGAATTGGTAAGCCAGCAAGAGTCTACGGGGAAGGGTCCATTCGAAAGCTGGTTTGTCTTCGGAATTACAATGCTTCGACATCAGATCTCCTGGCCTCACGAAACAGAAACAGGGGCCAGTGGGTTTCCATTGAAGATTTCCTGCTGTCCACCACAATGCCCAAGCTCAGCTGTGTCAACTTCTCTTCATTCGTCCACTTGACATCATCAGCATACAAGAACAAAGGCAGGTGATGACACTGCTTCCCCGGCTCATTGAGTGGGTGTTCAGCACCCCAGCTTGCATGGGTGAACATGTGATCCCAATAATTTGCAATTCCTTCTTGATCGGGCTTGATGTGGCCGTACTTCAAAAGGTGGCCAATCAGCTCATGAGGGAGAACCAGAGGAAGAAGCCTTGAATTCCAGGCTAGTGCAAAAGCACCACTTAATATTCTAGATTGGTATTGTTGCAGCCAGACCTCCCAAACCTGTACAGTTTTGTGGCCTTGGTTTAAGGATCTGGGGGTGAGGGCACTAGGGTTTTCAGCTCAGGGTTTTCAGCATGAATTAGGCATTTAGGGTTTTGGGGGGTGTAGGGTTTCGGCCTTAGAGGGTTGAGGTTAAATAAAACTGAGTGAACTGAGTGTCATGGGTGTAGCTAGGGCAGCTAGGGACTTGGATCATTCACTGGGATTCTAGGGGTTAAGCTTAGCATTTAGGGCTTGTGAGTTCGTAGTGGCTTTTCCACAACCTTGGGATCGGTTGCACTCGTCTTCATGGGCACTTTCACCATGGTCATGGGCACCTGAGCACTGTGATCAATGAGTCAATCATCATATGATTGACATGCAACTGTCCCGAATCATGAAACTGGGCATCTGAGTCAGTAACCAGGTCGAGGGCTCCAGAACTGCTTATCGTTCGGATCGTGTCTCTCTCAAGGTTCTGCTTCCATTTGCCCTTAGCGCCACCACACCTGATCTTCTCGGCAACCGGTCCCAAAGTGGCACCATGCATACTCAGTTCCTGACAACAGGAGAGCAGGCAAGCCCTTTATGGATTGGGGTTTAGGATGTTATTTTTCGGGCCAGGGTTTGAGTTCCTTTAGGGTTTAGGGTCTTATAAGGTAATTTGCACTGTACCCAATTCCCCAACCTCGTGTGATTCCTGCAAGAGCTCTCTGGCTGCAGCAAAGCTGAGGTCCTGGGCCAGACATGCTGAAACACCTACAACAATGAATGGGCTGCTTGACTTAAGTACTGGACCCCTTTGCCGGTGCATCGAAGGACATGGCGCCCAAGTGGCCCCAGCTCTTGCATCCACCCTGCGTGCGTGTTGTGAAACAGGGCTGGCAGCTTGTTCTGCTAGGCATGTGTGAACTCAGCAAGGCGAGCACCATCTTTTTTTTCTTTCATGTGCACATACCAGGATCAGCCCGGCTTTCACCAGCACATTCGAGAGTCTGTTTCTTGAAATGTAAGAAAGGCCTCCTACACAGGCCTGGCAGTGACTCCAGGTTCAGCCCAGAGCCACATCCTTGCAAAACTTGTGTGCACTTGTCAGACTGGCCGGGAAAAGAGCACGGCCATCTTCTAGCTGCAAGCCTGCCTCTAGCTCTAGCAGAACAGCAACTCAAGATCCCATAAGTGATGTTGCCAGGCCCCTGTGAACATATCTTGTCCATGCTGTACATGTATACATCACCTGTGCATGCACGTATATTATATGCATAGCTAACATCTTGCTGGCAACACCTCGATCAAACGGCTCACCAGTCCATGGCACACCCCAGGCTCAGCCAGGACCTCACTTGCGCTTCGACCCGTTCTTCGCCTTGGCTTTGCCCTTAGCTTTCGCCTTTGGCGCTGCCTCGGCTGCTGAATGTGGCCATGGTGTTTAAAGCTTGCATTCACTGGTACTACAGGGGGTCTCGGTTTATAGGCTTCGGGGTTGCAACTTGGTGCACATGCATTTCTTTGCCATAGGTACCTGGTTTGTGTACTATATGCTGTAAGGCTTCAGGATAGCTTCTGTAGGCTACAGTTGTAATATGTTCAGGATGTATCGAGCTGCAAATGTGCACTTGCGGACAGGTTGCAAGCTTTTTCATGGCCGTAGCAGACTGGGTGTAGTTTGTGATGCTTTGGTTCAGCTCGTCCAAGCAATCCTGTAGCTTGTCGGTGGAGCTTTTGGCCACCAAAGCATCCACCTTCTCCTTGGCCTCCTGGAGGCTCTTGGCATGGATGTCAAGCTCACCAGAGAACCCATTTTTCACAGGCTGTGACCTTGGATTGCACTTGTTAGGAACATGTTATAGGATCGAGGGTTTAGGGCTTGGGTTTGGGGTTGAGGGTTTAGGGTTCAGGGTTCAGGGGACAGCATGTGTCATGTGTTCCAGGATAGGGGTTTAGGGTTCTGGGTTCAGGGCTTGCCGATAGTAATAGCACATGTTATAGGATTCAGGGTTTAGGGCTCAGGGTTTATAAGGTTTGGGGAAAGCACATATATAGGATGGAGGTTTAGGGTTTGGGGTTCAGGATGTAGGGTTTTGGGGCAGCCTGAGTTTTGGAGTATTCACCCCATAGGTATAATCATATATGATACAGCAATATGAGATCTCCCCATATACTAGATGGTTCAGGACTCTGGAGATGGCATATAAGGGCCTTACATGTAGGGCAGCTTTGTGCATAAGGGGCACAAGTTGTCATTACCACTGATCTCGTCTTTCAGCAGCTTCACCTCCTCGATTTTGTCCTTGGCCATAGCAGCCTTGTTCTTCGACTGATTCAGGAGGGCATTCTTCTTCTTCTTGTCCATAGGCTCCACCACAGACTCAGGTGAGAGGTTTGCACCTGTAGTCTCATCTGCATTCGTAATCGGCAAGGCCATCGAGTGGCCATGCACAGACGAGGTGGATCCCACGGTGTTCGAGAGGCCAGACAACAATCTGGGCCTAAGTGTAGGATCGGAGTCTAGCAGATACAAAGACTAAGATTCAAGCCCTTATAAGTACATGTTAAAGGATAAAGATGCAGGTTTCTTGGGATTGAGGGATAGGAGTTCAGAAAACATATATTGCATACAAGCAAAGTCACATCAGAGCTCGGGTGGCCTCACCACTGAGATTCACATCACCGGTCTTCAGGGTGGAGGTTGTGCTTGAGCGATCGGTTGCTGTCACTGTAGCTTTGCCGAACACTTTGATCAAGGTCCACTCCTGTCAGGGCAACAACATTAGCTAGCATTATGGCACTTCGGTTGATTTGCTGATAAAATGTTTATACTTTGCAAACTGGGGTGCACCAGCCTCACAGCCCGGAAGATCTGGGTGCTTGAGGATGTAGGGAGCCTCCTCCGAATCTTCAGGGAGCTCTGCCTGGAGCTTTTTCTTGGATTCATAGATCTCCTCAGCAGCAGCATCTCCCACCTGAATCCTCAAATCACACAATTTTGTGTACACCTCCTCCCCCAGGACCTCTTTCGCAGCCTGGTTCTTCACCTCTTTGCAAACCGTGGAGGTAAGCCAATCGCCTCCACAGTTCAGGTACTCATTGAAGAGGTCATCCAGGGCTTTTGTACCTGGGTATTTCCCAGTCACATAATATAATTAGCAAAAGGTCTGGATTGCAACACAAACCGAAAGCAAGTATGCATGACACCATGGCACCACGATGTGCATTCTTGGCCACATTCAGGACCTCTGCTGGGCAGTTCTGGCCTTGGATGATTGGCGCGCTTGCCGCTTCATGGACTTATATAGCTAGGTTGGGTTTACAGGTCAAGTTAGTGCTTGCACCCGAAGAGTATCCGTGTGGGCTTTAGGTTTAGAGTTCGGGTTTGGGCAGTGTGACAGTGTGGCCTTTGACCTTGGGCTTTTATCCGGGCTGGAGTACAGATTGGGACGATGTAATACCCAAGTGCATAGGGGTAGGGTTAGGGTTTCGGGATATCCAGAATACAACTTTGAGGTTCAGGTTTTTGGCATAGCCAATTTGAGGGGCTTCATGCAAGCCTCGGCCAGTTTAGATCTTGTCAGGCAATTGAGATCTTATCTTTCCTGATCGAGGAATTGGGGGGGGGGGGGGTATCGGCCAAGGAACTGAAACTCTGATTAGAATAAAACTCATGACATTACATTATTGTATATGCACACACTTGGGTCTGTAGTGTGTTGGGTTAGGGATGAAGAAGCATGAGGGTGTCTATATTACAACTCTTATATGTAAAGGGCATGGGATTTAGTGCTTGAATCTAGAACGAAGAGGGTCAGCATTTCCCTTTTTTGGTTTGTGTACAGTTACCAGGTTTAGATACACACACAGCTCAAACTTGAGCCTCAGCATTCTGGTATGCTATATTACACGAATTGGAGCATTGGAGTGTTGTTGGGCTAAGCTTAAACACCCTAGGCCTATCAACGAGCTGCTATTTGGTCATGGCACTTTTGATGGATCTTGAGAACTTCATGAAGACATTGTGTGCGATACGAGCCATGCGGTCCTCCTCGGATTCATTTTCCTTCGCCTGCAAAGCAGCTTCCTGCAAGCAGCAGATTTCAAGATTACAGGGGTCCTGGACATGTCATACTACATGGTGAGATTGTCACTAGTCCACTATAACAACCCATTACTAGAGACCTTGGGGCAACTCGGGAAATGTCAGCTCGGCACTGGCACTAAATACTTGCAGATTAATCATTACTTCTGAGGGTTTAGGGTTTAGGTTTACAGTGTAGGGATAATGTGTAGAAGGGTCCTTCATGTCGAAGGAGTTGGGCCGATTCAGTGCCCTGTGCACAGCTGCAACCCTTTGCTGGGTCTTCGACACCGGCTGGTCACCTCCTGCAGCATCTGCCCCTGCCTGTTGCAACTGCATTGCTGCTGGTGCGGCTTGCTGCTGGCTGTCCTCCTGGGCTGTTCCCTGCAACTCTGCTGGCTGCACTGGCTTCGAATCCACTGCTTTCTGTTGATGGGCTGCTCCCTGGATGTCCGTAGGTGCATGCTGCTGCTGAGCTTCCTTCTGGGCTGTTCCCTGGCTGTCCATAGGTGCATGCTGCTGCTGCTGGGTTTCCTTCGGGGCTGTTCCCTGGATGTCTATAGGTGCATGCTGCTGCTGGGCTTCCTTCTGGGCTGTTCCCTGAATGTCCATAGGTGCCTGCTGCTCGGCTTCCTTCTGGGCTGTTCCCTCAAAACCTGAAGGCCCCGGAACCGGTTGCATTGGATTCAAACCCTGTGCTTGCTGCTGGGCTTCCTTCTGGGCTGCTCCCTCCAAACCTGAAGGCACTGGTTGCACTGGCTTCAAACCATCTGCTTGCTGCTCGGATTGCTTCGCTGCTTCCTGCTGGGCTTCCTTGCTGGTTGCTCCCTCGAACTGGCCGGATCCCGAAATCCGAAGTGCCTCTAAACTCTGCAGGGTTTCATTGACAGCCACCGAGGACTGGGTGGTGAGCTGCGTGGGCGGTGCAGCCTGGACAGACATAGTAACAGTGCAGCTATGTCTTATTTGTATATATATATATATAGCTATATAGAGCACTAGTACTATAAAGCTAATACCAACACATATTTATGCTTCCTCACAAATATATATATATATATATATACATACATACATACATACATACATACATATATACATACATACATACATACATACATACATACATACAAATGTATGTAGATAGTACGTGTGTGTGTGTACCATATATATATATATATCACAACGATGACTACAACTACTACTATGCGACTGCAGCTATTATAACTGCTGCTGCTACTACTACTACTACTACTACTACTACTGCTACTACTAGACTACTACAAAGTAACTGCTGCTGCTAGTGTATATCCTGCTACCACTACGACCACTACTGCTACTACTGCTGTTGCTCCTCCTCTGCCTCCTGCTGCTGCTGGTGTTGCTGTAGTTGTTGCTGTTGGTGTGGGTGTTGCTGCTGTCGTTGCTGCTGTTGCTTTGCTCATGCACTCGTAGCACCAGTACTACTAGAACCACTATAGTAATTAGTACTACTAGTACTACTTGTGCTGCTGGTGCTACTGGCACTACAAGTACAACGAGTACTAGAATTACCACTGCTGCTATAATACTGTGGTTGCTGCAGCTACTACTATAGCTAGTGGCACTCCAACCAGTATATAGTGGTACCAGTAGCAGCAGCAGAAGCAGCTGTTTCAGATTTCCCTTGTACTGCATGGGAACTGCATATAGGTATCACCGTACATGTACATTACATATCTGCAATATATGTGCCCAGATATAACACCAACACAGTTTGTGACATCGATGGCAAGCTTTATAATTGATAACCGATAGATTATTCGGGTTCATGACATTTAGGCTCTGTGGGTGGTGTCAAGGGAAGACGACTGGCTAGGATTGCAGCCGGTTAGGTTTGCTCCTTAGCTCTGGAGTTTCGGAATTTGGGTGCAGGGTTTAGGTTCAAGAGTCAGGGAGGTAGCAGCACTTGGGGTTGGGTTGTAAGCCACATATAGTATTAGGGATGTCGAGGGGAGCCGGGGAGCCAATTAATACCATTTGGAGGGCTTCTTAGTACTCAGTCCGATGTAGATCGATAGTGTGAATACCCAGAGTCTCATATGTAGCTAGCCAAGCAGATCTGGAGTAAACCACATGGCCCTTGAGGAGGCCTCTAGGTCCATGCTGCCCATCATGTCCTCAAGCTCTCTCATGATCAATAGCTCGTCCACATTTTCTTCGATCATCATCAAGCTCTGCTCCTCGGTGAGTTTCCCACCATTGCCTGCAATCTTGTCATGGACGAGGCCCCACATGTATACGATGGGCCCCACACTGTTGCTGATGGCAACACATGCAGCAAGCTCCTTCTGATTCAGGTGGCGCTGCAGATCATCAAGCTTGTTGCGCCTCCACTGCTCTGTGGCTGCAGTGCGACGGTTCACTTGATCCTCATCGATCTCACCCCTTTTAAAGGAGTAGTTCTGTTTCAGCAGCATGGCCTCAGCCTGGGTGTGGACCGAAGCAGACATTGTCTCAGTCTTCTGTTGCATCTCTGCAAACTCAGCAGCTTTGCCCCAAGCAACATTGATGACATCAAGCCTGGCTGGCAAGCTTGCCCTATCCCCATGCAGCTCCTCTTTGCAATCCTCCAACCTGACCAGACCCAGGTTCGGGTCACGAGGCAAAGCATCCTTCATCCACGTGACCATGGATGCTGCCCCTTCGGCTTGAACAGCTTCAGCAACATCGGGCCACGTTTGGTCCGGGGCTGCCATTCCAAAGTAGACCTCAAAGATCAATCTTCGGACGCTGGTGGAGGGCTCCACTTCAGGTTCAAGGGGCTCTATCAGCTGGCTGGATGAGCCAACGATTGTACTTTGGGTGTCCGGTCTGCGAAGGGACGACTGTGTCGATGTCGGCTCTCCAGGGCCTCTGCAAACACACACAAATATGCACTTGTGAAAAGTAGCAGTGCTGCACATGTACTACACTAGACACAGAGCATCCATATCACCAATAATACCATTGTAAATGAGCACTGGAACAGTAGAGGAACCTGGCCTGTGTTCAAGCAGCCTGCTGGCACCGGAGTCAGCACCTGCAGGGAATTGGGTTTAGGGCCGGTTTAGGGTGTATATAGGTTTTATTTAATTTAAATAAAGTGTTTAGGGTCCAGGGTTTAGGGTTTATGGGATGGTTGTGAAATAGAGTGATATCTCACCTCAGCTTGTGTGGGCTCTTCAGCAAAGAGTGTCCTTCTGGCTTTCTTGTACTCTGGGCTTTTGATAGGTGTTGCACCTGGGGTCTTGGCCATGACCTGTGCGTGCTGGCCCCCACGAGCTGGAGTTTGTCCTGTCATGTGAACATCCTTAGATGGACTCGGTGCTTTGGGTCCTGTCATAAGGGCATCCTTGGACGGACTCAGTGCTTTGGGTCCTGTCGTCATAAGGGCATCCTTGGATGGACTCAGTGCTTTGGGTCCTGTTGTCACAAGGGATGGACTCGGCACTTTGGGTTCTGTCGTTGTCGGGGCAACCTGGGATGGACTCGGCACTTTGGGTTCTGTTGTTGTCGGGGCAACCTGGGCTGGGCTTGGCAGCTTTCTTGGGCTGGCCTCTGGCTTCATCAGTATTGGGCCTTTGGGGCCAGGGTACCCAGCTAGTCCCGAAGCTGGCATACGGCCCGAGATCCCCAGGCTCATTGGCACCACCGGCTCAGCTTGACCTTTTGGAGCCGGTGTCTTGGCTGCAAGCTCCTGCTTTGTCAGCACCGGAGGGTTGCCTAGGCATTGCAAAGGCTAGCAGCTAGTACATGACAGTCAGAAAGTTCACACAGTTGACCATAGGACCACAGGAACAACCAATGGATCTGTATACAAACATGTCGATGATACAGGCTAGGAGCCTTTGGCTGCAGTCGGCTTCACATCCACGAGGGATGGAGGTGGAGACACAGTAGGCTTCTTTGCAGCTGGTGCCCCGGGTGGTGTTTTTCCACTAAGACGCCTGCCCGTAGTCGTTGCAATAGTACCACCAGTATCTCCAGAGGCTCCTGCAGACATGCAGCTGTGACTTGCTTGCATCCGGATTCATGGACCCCGAAGCAATATTGCTAACAGCATACGTGAGCATGGTTTTCCAGGTGGTCTCCTGCAGCTTTCAAAGCCTTAGCAATCTCATCCTCGATTTTGCGCTTGGCCTGTCCGAGCAACACCAGCTGTAGCTATAGACTAGATGCTGAAAAGGGTTTAGAGTTTAGGGTCTCGGCTTCAAGTTAAGAGATGTTTGCAGGGGGCCATAGCTTCTGGAATCAGGCCATTGCCAGCCTAGCTTCAAGGTTTAGGGTTTATAAATATTACATTATAAGTGACATAATCAGCATTGGGGTCTGGGCTGAAGAATGCATTTGAGCTGGGGTTCCGATGGTGAGGAAATGTACATTAATAGGTTTGCAGGGGAGAAAGAATTAGTTAATGGAATCGAGACATCCTGGCCTGATACGAGGTTGTGAGTCTGCAAGATATAATTCTGCGGGGTGAAAGTTCTGGGCCTAGGGTCTCAAGTCCAGCCTCTCATTTGCTGGTGTGACGGAGTTCTGCTAGTCTTGCAACTTAAAAGTGAAACATAGTACTAGTACTAGATAGTATCCTGGAATCACTAGTGTCACATGCACTGGATTCTACAGACTGGCCAATGTGGATGCCTATATTAGAAGCCCATGGTCTGTCAATATCGGAAGGGAGAGTTCTTAGAGTTGTTCGAGTGGCCTTTCTCTATTTAATTTAGCTTATTATTTAATTGGGGTAGCTCCGATCTAGCAAGATGTACCCACGTCTGGGGTTCAGATCTAGTGTCTGGGCCCAGGTGTTGATGGTCTGGAGCAAGGGTTCGGCTAGGAAACTAGTGATATAGCATAGGCTTTGCTGCAGAGCCTGGTCCTTTGTCCCAGCAGCACCGGTACCACTAACAGCCATGGCAGCCCTGGCACCAACTAACGCCCCCTAACGGCTACTAACGGCCCAAAGTGCCCCAGACAGGCTTTTGAACGCAAACTAACGCCTACTAACGGGCCTCCCCCATTGCCCACTAACGCCCACTAACGGCTACTAACGGCCAGAAGTGCCCAAGACAGGACGTTGAACGCCAAATAACGCTTCCTAACCCGGCTATTTTCGGGGTGCCCAGCACTAACGCGCACTAACGGCTCCTAACGGCCCAAATTGCCCCAGAGAGTGTTTTGAACGCCAAATAACGCTCCTTAACGGCTACTGTGGGCCTCTAGCAGATATTAGGACTAAAGGGCAGTATTCTTAAGCTTTTATGCATGTCGATGAGCTACCACTTATTATAGTAGTACCATACACACATGGCACACATGTATGATCACATGCTGGAGCAAGTGAGGCCTTCAGATCGCACACATCGAGAAGCTGGGCACAGCTACGAAAGCTCTTGCACCGTGGCAGACATTACATACCTATGGTGCACAGACATGACACAGCACTTCTTTTTAAAAACTCACCTGCAGGCATCCGTGCCGGCACCAGCCAACACCCTTTCTTCTACAGGGCCTGCCGAGGGGCCCCGAGGTTAGAGCAGCACACACACACACATATATACATATATACATAGACATGATCGGTATGAATATATACATACATATATATATATATATTCATTAATACATATAAATAAAAATATAACACATGGTATAGTACATGCACATGCACACATGCTGTGGGGTAGGGGTATTCATACCAACCATAGGTGCTACTTGGATATGAGAGTTTCACACACAACACACCCTAGCTAGGATGCATTATTATTATATCTTATGGCTTGTAGATACATCAAAAGCTGCTGAGGCCATACCCTGGGATGCATCTGGCCAGATCAAAAGGGATCTTGTGGTCGAAGTGGAAGAGCCCAAGACAGATCGCCTGAGGCAGGAAGCAAGGAAGGAAAGGGACAGGGCAAACCCCCACAAAACAAGCCCCGACCCTGCTAGCACGACCCAGCCTGCAGAAGGTAATCCTGTCCGGGTCAAGGAGCAAGGCTACAATGTATGCTGATGACCTGACACCCCCTGCCTGCACTTGCATGAGATACGCTTCATGAAACGGTGTTCGAAGGGTCATGTCGGACGCAAAGAGCTGCTCCACACGGATCTCTTCAGATCCATCCAGGACCTCCGGTTCGTAGCAAATGAAGACTGTTCTATATATCTAGCAGGGATCCTAAGTTAAGTACATATATGGTGAATACAAACCCAGACCACTAACTGTCAGGATAGAAACCCTAGGCCTACTTTCGACTACATGACATCGACTACTGAGCAGGAGCCCTTGCTTATGCTATATATCTACTACGATGCCGATGATGTCCCACCTGAACATGTTTGTCGGCCACAAACTTTGCAAAGGAGAGTGGGTATTGGCCAGTGCTAGGGAGGTCCTTTGTACCAGTCACTTTTTTGCCATCGCGCTTCACGACCTGCATGTTGTTGCGGCTCATGACATTCCGGAGGGCCTGGTTCTGAATGTCAGAAACCAGTAAACATTACACATGTTGCAAATGTATATATATATATATATATATGTATATATATCTTTACGGTTTAGGGTCGGGTACCAGAATCCCACAAGGCGGCCTTCCGAAGCTCCTTCGACATCCTGCTACCCCTTCTCTGCAAAGCTGGCATCCACGGGGCTGTTCCGAAGCCCAGGCACGGCTTCGGGGTCCAAGATCCAAAGTTGCCCATGTACCTTAATTTCTGGGTTTGTCTGAGAGCAGCAGCTGGTAGTGGTCACTTGTAGTAGTAGCAGAAGCAGCACTAGCAGCAGCACGAGTAGCAGTAGCAGAAGAAACCGAGGCACATACAGCACAAGTGGTGCTCGTAGTGGCAGTTGTAGTAGTGGTAGCAGTAGTGGTAGGCTTTGGCAGTGAAAAGTCTATATAGTGGTAGCACTACCAGTACTACTACTACTACTACTACTACTACTACAACTACTACTACAACTACTACTACTACTACTACTACTACAACTACTACTACAACTACTACTACTACAGACTACTACTACTACTACTACTACTACTACTACTACTACTACTACTACTACTACTTAATACTACTAGTACTCGTAGTACTAGTACTACGAATGCTGGTGATACTACCACTACTACTACTACTACTACTACTACTACTACTACTTCTTCTACTACTACTACTACTGCTGCTACTACTACTACTACTACTACTACTACTACTACTACCTCCTCAATGTGATTTGTATATATTAATATGGTTCGAGTATTACACTAGTATACATATACTGCATGTTATTAGTACATGTAGTGTACTGGATATATATCTTTATGTATGTACCTATATATATATATATATCTAAAACCTATATATATATATATATACACACACACACTATGACTGCTGCTACTACTACTACTACTACTACCACTACTACTACTACTACTACTACTACTGCAACTACTACTGCAACTACTACTACCACTAGTACTAGTACTACAGTACTATTTCGACTACTAAAACTACTACTAGTACTACTTCTACTGCTGCTATTAATACTAGTAGTAGGGTAGTGGTGGTGGTGGTGGTGGTGGTTGTGGTGATGGGAGTGATGGCGGTGGTGGTTGTTGTGGTTGTTGTTGTGGAGGTGGTGCTGGTGCTGGTGCTTTTGGTTAAAGGATCATTTACAGCTGCTCCTGAAGGACGTCGGCTTTAGGGTCACTAGGGTCTAAAGGTTCGGGTGAGGGTTTCCATGTTCACAAACCAACTAGTGTTTAGGATATGGGCTTTCCGGTTGGGCTAGGGCTTAATCTAATAAGTTCGAGGCCAGGTGGGGAGCTTCATTTCAGGATTCGTTCAGGCAACAGCAACAGGGGCTAGGGTGTAGGTTTCCAGTTACACAGGTTGTGCAGTTTCGGGTATCTTGTAGGCAGCTGAAGCTGCAGCTGCTGCTGCTTTCTGCATGGATGATGAAAGAGCCACGGGGCCATTTGATGTGGAAAACCTGGAAGTTGAACAGCTGTGGAGCATGAAGTCCAGCAATGTCCCGAAACCATGGAAGCAGTGGCAACACCGAGCTCCATGGGTGCTCGATGAAGAAATGCACCCTCCGAACAAGCGCTAAGACCAACAGCAATGCCACACGGCACACCAGGGTGTTGTGGTCCCGAACCCAATGGGAATTGACATCTCCCAAAGGATTGCTCTCTGTCCTCTTGTGCCTGCTGGATGACATAAAGCTGTAACTTGCACACGGAACTCCACAGT